TACCAACCTTACAGTCTGGGGTTTTTGAAAGGTCGACTCAGCTAAAAACCATCAGTATCTTCTACACGCACCTGGAAAATTTGGAAAAGGGGACGTTCGTTGGGCTCCACCACCTCCAAGAGCTCGACCTGTCCCACAACAACCTCAAGACCTTGGTCGATGGCGTTTTTCAAGACCTGAAGGCCTTGCAGATCTTGGATCTTCAGGCCAATCGACTAATGTTCATGCGAGAGGGATGCTTCAAAGGTCTACACGCGCTAAAACACCTATACTTGTCTCGCAACCAAATTCACTATTTACCCGCCAACATCTTTCAGCAAGTCACCCACTTGGAAGAACTCCACTTGAACTACAACAAACTGGACGGTTTGCAAGAAGCGTACTTCACCGGTTTGGGCCGCCTGGCGAAGCTGTACCTGAAGAACAACATCATCACGCAAGTAAGACGAGGCAGCTTCAGCAACCTGCAGGGCCTGAAACACCTCGACCTAACCTTTAACAGAATCGGAGTCTTCGATCCGAAAGCCTTCGAGGGCTTGCACATATTGGAAACGCTAACGGCGGGGAATAACGACTTTGAGGTTATCTTTAATGGGACCTTCGACCTCGATTATCTATCCTATCTCAGTCTCGAGTACAGCAATCTTGAGCGCATCGAAAAGAGCACCTTCGGCACCCTCCCCAGCTTGCAACACCTAAATTTGGGCAACTGCATCGTCAATCACATCGCGAGCGGAAGCTTCGGCCGACTGCCCAACTTGCGACGCCTCAACCTGGACAACAACAACCTCGCGCAAATCGACAACCTCACCTTCGGCGGGCTCGACAAGCTGACCGAGCTGCGACTGTCCGGCAATCGCCTGAACGCGCTCAAACCGAACACATTCAAGCACCTCGTCGCTCTACAGGAGCTGCGGCTCACCGGCAATCGGCTCGTCAACCTCGAGATCGGCATGTTCAGCGGACTGACGCTCCTCAAGGCGCTACACTTGGACAGCAACCAGATCGCGCGACTGCCCTCCGGCGTCTTCCAGAACATGCCGAACTTGGAGGTCCTCTCCTTGGCGAACAACGCGATACGCAACGTGGATAAAAACTCATTCGGCGGCCTGGTGAACATCCAAGAGCTGAATTTGATCGACAACCCGATCGAGTTCGTCGACGGGGATGCGTTTTTCGGATTCAAAAGGTTCAAGTTGATGATAAGCGAGGTGAATTTGACGCGCTCGACTTTGGAGGAGATCTCGTCGCAGGACCGGATCGATTTTCATTTTAATGTCGATAAATTATAAAAAGCCGAGCTTTAAATATAGGATTAATGCTAAAGAAACAAACCCATGACCCTTTAAGCGCTTGGGCCCAAAAACAGGCACACACTGGGTGAATTTTAAATTGTTAGGCTTGTATGGACTCAAATCATGACTTTCGTGACTCCTTTGGTCCAAAAATGTTAGAAATTCGATATTTTTTGGCGCCAAAACCCAAAATTTGAACCTTTTAGACCTTCGCAACCTATAATTTTGTGTACCCATGACCTTTAAAGTGCATGGGCCTAACAACGGGTCCAAATTTGCTACACATGAATGAATTTTAAAATTTTGAAACTTGTGAAATCAGAATTTGCGTAACTCCTGTGGTGAAAAATTATAGAAATATGATATTTTTTGGCGACGAAACCTAAAATTTAAGCCTTTTAGGCCTTCACAACCTATAATTTTGTGCACCCATGACCTTTGAAGTGCATGGGCCCAGCAACGGGCCCAAATTTGCTACTGATTAGAGAATTTTAATTTGTTTAACTTGTATGTACTTAAATCAGAATTTTCGTGACTCCTGTGGTCCAAAAATGATAGAAATTTGATGTTTTTTGGCGACGAAACCTAAAATTTGAACCTTTTAGACCTTCGCAACCTATAATTTTGTGTACCCATGACCTTTAAAGTGCATGGGCCCAACAACGGGCCAAAATTTGCTACTGATTAGAGAATTTTAATTTGTTTAACTTGTATGTACTTAAATCAGAATTTTCGTGACTCCTGTGGTCCAAAAATGATAGAAATTTGATGTTTTTTGGCGACGAAACCTAAAATTTGAACCTTCTAGGCCTGGACCCAAAAACTGGCACCCAGTTGCCATCAATACGGGAATTTACTTTATTTATTTACCTTTAACAAAATAATAAATATAACAGTGTTGGAATGGATTAATTTATACCATTAATGATTACTTATCACTCACAATGTATAACATAACACGAGCGAGAGTACAATTCTTATACAGCAAATGCCCATCTTTCTTGAAAGTTCTCGAACGCTTCTGAACGTGCCCGAATATTTGAAAATTTTCTCGAACAAACACATCATATTTCCCGGAAAGGATGCCCTTTGAATTTTTTTTCGAAATTGGTTTCTATTCTAGACTATAACTTTTGATTGAGAAGTCTGATCGAAAAAGTACGAATTGATTTGGATTCTACGCACCCAAATTAATAAGAAAAAAGTGTTTTCCCGAGAAATTTTGGTGTAGTCGATTTTTGGTAAAAAAGGAAGGTTATACACTGCCTTTTTTTGAGCCCCGAAAAAAAAATTGTCTCAGATCGACCCGGAAAAAAATTTTCTTATAGAATGTGGCCTGTAGAATCCATAATTTCAAACAGTTCCAAGATTGGGCTACTAGTTCAAAAGTTACAGCTCTTTGAATTTTTTTTCGAAATTGGTTTCTAGTCTATAACTTTTGATTGAGAAGTCTGATCGAAAAAGTACGAATTGTTTTGGATTCTACGCACCAAATTAATAAGAAAAAGTGTTTTCCCGAGAAATTTTGGTGCAGTCGATTTTTGGTAAAAAAGGAAGGTTATACACTGCCTTTTTTTGAGCCCCGAAAAAAAAATTGTCTCAGATCGACCCGGGAAAAAAATTTTCTTATAGAATGTGGCCTGTAGAATCCATAATTTCAAACAGTTCCAAGATTGGGCTACTAGTTCAAAAGTTACAGCCCTTTGAATTTTTTTTCGAAATTGGTTTCTAGTCTATAACTTTTGATTGAGAAGTCTAATCGAAAAAGTACGAATTGTTTTGGATTCTACGCACCAAAATTAATAAGAAAAAGTGTTTTCCCGAGAAATTTTGGTGTAGTCGATTTTTGGTAAAAAAGGAAGGTTATACACTGCCTTTTTTGAGGCTCGAAGAAAAAATTGTCTCAGATCGATCCGGAAAAAATTTTTTCTTATAGAATGTGGCCTGTAGAATCCATAATTTCAAACAGTTCCAAGATTGGGCTACTTTTCTTATAGAATGTGGCCTGTAGAATCCATAATTTCAAACAGTTCCAAGATTGGGCTAGTAGTTCAAAAGTTACAGCCCTTTGAAATTTTTTTCGAAATTGGTTTCTAGTCTAGAACTTTTGATTGGGAAGTCTGATCGAAAAAGTACGAATTGATTTGGATTCTACGTACCCAAATTAATAAGAAAAAGTGTTTCCCGAGAAATTTTGGTGTAGTCGATTTTTGGTTAAAATGGAAGGTTATTCACTGCCTTTTTTTGAGCCCCGAAGGAAAAAATTGTCTCAGATCGACCCGATCGAAATTTGAACCTTCTAGACCTTCGCAAGTTATAATTTTTTGTACCCATGGCCTTTGAAGTGCGGGGGCCCAAAAACAGGCACCCATACTTACTTTTTATGCGGGAATTCTAAATTGTTAAACTTGTTTGTAATCAAATCATAACTTTCCTGACTCGTTTGGTCCAAAAGTGTTCGAAATTTGATATTTTTTGGCGAACCCAAAATTTGAACCTTTTAGTCCTTTGCAAGCTATAATTTTTTGTACCTATGGCCTTTGAAGTGCGTGTGGCCAAAAACAGGCATACATTGGCTATATATGCGTGAATTTTAAATTGTTAAGCTTGTTTGTACTCAAATCATAGCTTTTCGTGACTCTTTTGGTCCAAAAATGATCGAAATTTGATATTTTTCGGCGACCAAATCCAAAATTTGAGCCTTCTAGGCTTTCGCAAGCTATAATTTTTTGTACCCACGGCCTTTGAAGTGCGTGGGCCCAATAACAGGCACACACTTGCTATATATAAGTGAATTTTAAATTTTTAAGCTTGTTTGTACTCAAATCATAACTTTCGTGAGTCCTTTGGTCCAAAAATGTTCGAAATTTGATGTTTTTTGGCGACCAAACCCAAAATTTAAAACTTCTAGGCCTTCGCAACCTATAGTTTTTTGTACCCATGGCCTGAAGTGCGTGGGCCCAAAATAGGTTTATTTTTTGAGTCTGTGAAGTGTCGAATTGAGTCGGGATGGCGCCCCACAGGCTTAGAGTTAAAGTTATACGTCCCAATTGTGTCGTATATTGACCTAATCGCCGTTTATTTAGCGAATGTGCTGCGTTTCGCAAAACTTTTCGAAACGTTCCCATAAACGGCGCTATTGAAAGAAGAAACGCGGCTCGGTATAAATAGAAAAGTTTGCGCTAGTTTACGGAACATTAATTTCGCAGATAAGATGATATTAATTAGCGTATAACGTTACAAAACTATAAATCAATCGCGATGAATACTTAAAATTTGCGTGTTTTTAAATGGCGCGAGGAGGCGTAATTAAAAATTTTAATCCCGCGTACGGAGAGGGCGATTCTTGCATTTTCGAATTCGTAATCGCGAACTAATGGGGCGCGAATTATCGTAAGAAAGTACATTCGACATCATCCCCTAATCGATACGCTCAATTCGGGCGAGAAAATGAACCGCCGAGCGAAGTACGGCCCTGCCGATGTCGGTTTATCTTTCTTGGCACTGCAGCAGTGGCGGACAGTGGCAGGCGATCCCCTGCAGGATAATCAGGTAAAGAAGGGGATGATCCGCCACCCGCTGCAGCAGTGGATTGCGATTTCGGGACCAGGAGGTCCGCATTGGCGGGGGCGCCTGCGCGTCTTCGCCACCACCGACGGCTGAACCCCGGTGCAGTGCACAAATCGCGCGCTAACTAAAGATAACCTGTCGACGCCGCCGTCTCTCACCTGTTGGTCGCGTCGCGGTCTTCTAAAGAGCCCTTTACGATGGGGTCTAATAAAACAATTCGACGGCGATGTGCAGTGCCCTAAGGACCCACGCTAATTGCCGGTGGACTCGTGCAGTGCTTGTGTTTTTATTCGTGCAATAATAAATTAATAAATGTTATAATAATCAACCCCTCTCCTCCCCCCATTACTAGCTGTATTACAATTAGACAACAAACTCTTGCTCAATTTTTTGCTAGTCGTGCCGTAATAATAATTATCTCTTCCATTTTTAAAAAAATTAGATTTTAAAGCTACGGGCGCATCTTTAAAAAAGAAAATTGCAACGATTCTTAGAGGTTTGCTGCAAATAGAAAAAGAAAGTTTTGCGGTTGACGTAAAATTTTGTCCCGAAATATCTGCGCGAAGAGGTCAATAAAATCGGAAGTCAAAAATATTTGCGATTTCATTGACGCTCTGAATTTTTTAGGTAAACTTAGTCGCACTCCCACAAATTGACGATCGCTAATAAGTGCTAATTAAACGGATAAGTTCAAACTGTGCTAATTTTGGACATCGGCCGTCGTCGATGATGATTGCAAATTTTTGGCTTGCTTGCCCACTCGTTTGGTAATACTGATAATATATATAACGACCTTTGTGTATTTCGGAAGCTTTTGTGCGCGTCTTTAGTGTTAATTAATCTTCGCAATGTGCATCGGGAGTGTGCCGCCGCGAGTTGACAAAACGGCGCGTTCTAGCGGTCGTGTTTGATTTATACGCAAAAATTGGTCTTGTAATGCTCTTTAGCCATGACGATGTGGCAGAGCGGGATGGGGGGGCACGGGGGGAAAAACAACGCTTGGATGAAGCTCATGGGTATTGTCACACACCACAAGGGACGCCATCATGATTCAGGTCCTGCATCAACCGATAGAACACTCAGCCAGTGAGTATATAATGTATGATATGGCCCTTTTGGGGATATTCCTTTGTCCTGCGACAAACTGACGCGAAACGCTTTTCTCCACATTTACAGTTAATCACCCTGTATATTAGAGTCTGATTTATAATCACCCTATACATACTATTTCAGAGTTTAGAGAACTGCACACTATAATAAAAGTTGCTCAACTGTTTGAAATGCACTATCTATTAATTTAATTAATAAACGGAAACATTCAACTGGCACTAGTCGTGTCAGAATTCAATATTGCGCCACTAACCGCAATTCTTGAATTTCTTCGTGCACTCATTTTGGAGATTGTCCAATCGAAATAAGGAATTTTTCTCATATAACATTTCATTTCCATCTTCAAAAATCTAAACAGGCACACACTGCAGAGTCAGTCAGTCTTCTACACCCTGTACATATTGTATCATTTGTTATGAAGTCGGTTAAATTAGCAAATATGATGCATTTTGTCGAAGGCAACTTACAATGAATCTTTAATGACTATAATTATTGAGGGTGGTGGTATACAGGGAGGAACAGCATTTCTTTCTAAAGAAGCTGTCTGTGGTATTCCAAATTATAAAAAGGTTGCCACCAATTTAGCTACTCGAAATATGCGGCCAGTGGCGTACTTTCGCATGGTCAGGGGGGCCTATATTTTTTTAAAAGCAGCGCCGCCTCGCCTGGTTCCCTTGACATAGCTTCGGCTTCGGCGGCTGCGCCGCGTCACCTCCCTGTATTACCTAGTATTGAAATCGCCCAGATAAAGAGCCCATATATGATACATTTTAAGCACCAGTTACGCCATACCCCGGGAAAGTGAAGAAGGTTCTTAAATCGATGGGGAAAGCTTCACTGAGAGTTTTTCCCTTAAATATGATCGTGCAAATAATGAAGGGTGTACACCTTTTGAAAAAAACGTAGCACCTCGTGCTCTGATAAATGAAGACGGTTCTCAAATTCTGGGAGAAAGCTGAATTCGCCGAGAACTTTTGGGAAACCATTCAATCGGACAACTTACAGGATAGCAAAAGTCAGTGGTTCCCAAAAACACCTCGGAGAAGCCTTCACCACACTACGGTACTTCTCCCATGCTACATGTTCCTCCAAAACGTTTATAGTCTTCATTTATACAATAAAGAATCGGTACATATCAACCCTTAAATTAAGACCGCTCGGTGGCTGAATTTTTTAACACAAAAATTTTTACCCCTTCCGTTTACAAACTGAATTTTAAGTGGGGCGGGCCTGATTTAGGGGGAAATTCCACTCTAATCAATAAAGAATCTGTATATATCAACCCTTAAATTAGGAACATTCGGTGGCTGAAGACAAAAATTTCAAACTCTTCCGTTTTCAAACTGAATTGTAGTTGGGACAGGCCTGATTTAGGGGGTAATTCCACTATAATCAATAAAGAACCTGTACATATCAACCCTTAAATTAAGACCGCTCGGTGGCTATTTTTTTAAGACAAAAATTTCAACCCGTTCCGTTTTCAAACTGATTTGTAGTTGGGGTAGGCCTGATATAGGGGGTAATTCTACTCTAATCAATAAAGAATCTGTACATATCAACCCTTAAATTAAGAGGATTCGATGTTTGAATTTGTTAAGACAAAAATCTCAACCCCTTCCATTTTCAAACTGAAATTTAGATAAGGCGGGCCTGATTTAGGGGTGATTCCACTCTACTCCGACTTCGGAGCTCTACTCAATAAAGAATCTGTACATATTAACCCTTAAATTAGGACCGCTCGGTGGCTGAATTTTTTAAGACAAAAATTTCAACCCCTTTCGTTTACAAACTGAATTTTAGGTGGAGCCTCGGGTGGGGCAGGCTTGATTTAGAGGTGATTCCATTTTAATCAATAAAGAATCTGTACATATCAACCCTTAAATTAAGAGGATTCGATGTTTGAATTTGTTAAGACAAAAATCTCAACCCCTTCCATTTTCAAACTGAAATTTAGATAAGGCGGGCCTGATTTAGGGGTGATTCCACTCTACTCCGACTTCGGAGCTCTACTCAATAAAGAATCTGTACATATTAACCCTTAAATTAGGACCGCTCGGTGGCTGAATTTTTAAGACAAAAATTTCAACCCCTGTCGTTTTCAAACAGAAGTTTAGGTGGGTCAAGCTTGATTTAGGGGCTATTCCACTCTAATCAATAAAAAATCTGTACATATCAACCCTTAAATTAAGAGCATTCGATGTTTGAATATTATAAGACAAAAATTTCAACCCCTTTCGTTTACAAACTGAATTTTAGGTCGGGCAGGCGTGATTTAGAGGTGATTCCATTTTAATCAATAAAGAATCTGTAACTATCAACCCTTAAATTAGGAACATTCGGTGGCTAAATTTTTTAAGACAAAAATTTCAACCCCTCCGTTACAAACTGAATTTTAGGTGGGCAGGCCTGATTTAGTGGTGATTTTACTCTAATAAATAAAGAATCTGTAACTATCAACCCTTAAATTAGGACCACACGGTGGTTGAATTTTTTAAGACAAAAATTTCAACCCCTTCCATTTTCAAACTGCAGTTTAGGTGGGGCAGGCCTGATTTAGGGGTCATTCCGCTCTAATCAATAAAGGATTTGTACATATCAACCCTTAAATTAGGACCACTGGGTTGCTGAATTTTTTAAGACAAACCTTTCAACCCCTTCCGGTCTCTAACCTGAATTTTGGGTGGGGCAGGCTTGATTTGGGGGTGATTCCACTCTAATCAGTAAAGAATCTGTACAGATCAACCCTTAAATTAGGACCACTCGGTGGCTGAATTCTTTTAGAAAAAATTTTCAACCCCTTTCCCTGTCAAACTGAATTGTAGTTCCAGCATGCCTTATTTAGGTGGTGATTCCACTAAAATCACAGCAAATATTGTAATCCACAAATTACGAAATTACGAATTACCAGCACCAAGTGTCTGGTGTACGGAGTACTCCCCAAGAGATAATGGTACATTCTCTTATGACCGTGCAAGTATTGAGCGTTGCACCTGTCTTGGGGAATACGTTGTACCATGGGGAGGGGGGGTCTCGGAGGTACAAAATATCCCCCAGTAAACGAAGAGGAGTCTCAGGATCCGAGGGAAAGCTGAATCCGCCGAGGGGTTTGTGGGGAATCTCCGACCCAGGAATATAAAATTCAATGTTTCCCCAATGAACATTTTGGGCCCGAATTGGTGAAACCCCTTCATTTACTAGGGGGTATAAATCTTTTTCTCAGGGAAGGGGGGGGGATCTACGTGTTTTGCCAAAACTTCTGTACTCCTCAGCATTTGCATACTGATTGTCAAAGGAGTACCATCAAATCGTGGGGAGTATTCCATGCCAACCAGACATGAGGTCCTAGGAAAAGATAAATCGGTGGTTCTCCCTCCCGTGCTACAGCTTCCCCCTAAATGTTTACAGTCTTCATTACTATTTTGAGGTAGAACCACCGAATTACATTTTCCTAGCACCAAGCTTCTGGGACTGGGAGTACAGAGTCCTCCTCGAAAATGATTAATGCCCTCCCTTAGATCTGACCGTTTAGGTCCCCCACGGTCCACATACCGCTCAAGGAAGAGGGTTCACAGGATCTATGGTGAAAATCTCACTGAACGGTTTGTAGGGTTACATTGCATTTTCCTTTCCCGAGGGATATTCCATTCGGCCCCACTCGTTTATTACATTTTCCTTTCATTATTCCTGAAGGAAGGGCATTGACCACCCTTATGATTTTCGAGAGAAGATCGTCAAATTATCCTTTCACAGTTGTGTTCGATGGCTTCCCGTTATCGGAAATTTTGTAAGTTCCGAAGGCTGCAAACGGTTTGGTAAAGAACGAGCACCGAGCGGTCTGGGGGGGTATAGGACACCCCCCCCCCCAGCACACGTTTTAGAAAACGTTACATGTTAGTTAATTACTGTTAGTAGGTCTAAGGGCAGGGAAAACCCGAAACTTAAGTCTTCCCTATCCGTCACTCACAACTAAAAATACTATGTGCCGAGAAAGCCAAAAATTAAAATTTCCTTAACCGTGGATTTAGCGGCTGCGCCGTCTCGCCTCATTCATTTACATGCACTTACTATGTGTTGCCCTGTTTCTCGCTTTCGCATTCCCTTACCCTGTGCTGGTATGTATCCACATGAATCGCTTTTACTAATAGCATTATATTCAGCAGCTTGCAGGGGGTACATACCTTTAGTTAAGAGACCTTTACCTTATGAAGCTCTTTGACCGACGATTTATATTAAACAGCTGATACTGCTGCCACCATGTGAGCCCAGCCTCTTTCTAAAGAATCCAACACATCGCCCGTCATGAGCATGCCATTTGGTTTGCACAACGCTCCTGCTACATCGAACATTTATATTATTTGTTTGTTCATAAAAGAATTGAAATCTGAGTATTCGAATATCTTCAGCCTAAATTGTTTTAGAAACTTTTCCATTAAAAATTTAAAAGAGATACCTACTTACCCACCTCTAATCCTCTTGTAGATGTTTTCCGTTTGGCAAAACTTTTACATCCCATTAATGCCTTTGTTTGCCTTCTCCCCGCGAAGTGCCTTCTTTATCTGCGCGCTTCCAGAATTTCGACGCTAAACCAAATGAATTTTAATTACTTGCCTTTCTCGCATAATTAATTTTAAACTCGCCGATGCTTCAGGTGTGGGAATTTATTCGGAATCATACGGGAAGACCGAAAGAATTTTAAAATTCAATCATAAATTAACCTTATCGAATGTAACGGGAACGGCGCCATTTGTCCTGCAGGTATTCGCACAAGTTTGAATAGTTTAAGCGCTACATGCCATATAAACTTTGAGCAAATAATTAATTCGTGCCGCATTTCGTGCATTTCCACTTTATCGGATACAAAACCTAATTTAATTCGTATCGTTCGATAAATGGCAAGTAACGTCTTCCGTTCTGTCAAGTAATAAAAACGAGAAGGAATTAGAAGGCGGAAAAACGAAAAAGTTGGGGTAAAAGAG